CTTGCGTACAGCAGGCAATGTACCAGCACCCCTTGCGGTCTTTGTCAAACACCAGTGGACTGACCGCGTGGTGGCCGCGCATGATCCAGATTTAGCAGCGGCGTGCATGTTGCATTTTTCGGTTAGCAGGGATGGTGGCCTTGCGCGATGTCGTCCCGGTCGACCCTTCAAAAATCAATAGGAATTGTTCGCGGGACCCACGAGCATGATTCAAGAAATTGTCCCCAAGTGTGTTTCGTGTTGTTTTTGACAGGGATGGGGTGGGGCGTTCTCATTGGTCATGGTTGGCTGCCAGTCGCTTGAGGGAGGGTGTGTTATTTACAGGGAGTGGTGAAAAAACCCTCCCTGAAGGGGAAGATGAGGGGGGAAGAAGAAATTTGCTGAACCACCCACGCCCCGAAGGGCTGGTGGGATCGAAATGAGTTGTTCTCGGGTATCGCTCGGGCGTTGCTGCCGAGCCCATTAATTCACATTAAAGCCCATGTCCAGCAGAGCAGACTTCGATCAATACTCAGCTTCCGCAGGCAGGTGGTATTATGCGTATTGTCTTACAGGTGCGAGCGGCTGAGGTATTTCGCTCCTGTTCCTCCATCTGAAGAGGGAGGGGGAAGGAACATGAGACGAACCATTAGGGAACCGCACTAGCAGTGGTGCCACCCCAGCGAACAGTAAACACGTTGGTCCGCCTTTCAATGCATGTAACGTAAGTGGGCTCTGGATCATCTAATGCGTAAGTGTTCATATGTTCTTCACATGGCCACCGCTCGTGCAAGCTAATTCTATGATGCACTGCGTGCGGTGGTGCGGTGCGGCATGCTGCTCCCGGCTCTCGGCTCCGTTTGCACGCGCGTTGCCGTGTGGTGTTGCTGGGTGCCGTGCTCACAAATATCGGACTTGTTTTTCTCGGAGTATTGTGTGGTACCATGCCTACCCCCAGCTGCTGCCCCAGCTGTTGCCCCACCGCTACCGCTGGCTCCCCGCCCCGGCGCCCGCCCCGCCGCCGCCTGGCCCTGTTCTGAGCGGGCCCAGCCTCCTATCCTTCCCACCCGCGCTGGGCGTCCTTTCTCTCCCTCCCGCGCATTGCAGTTTAATTTTCATTTGGTGTGTCCCACTAATTCCACTTCGCCAGAGCAGTCCCTCTGCCTAGCTGCCGACGCAAAATGCTGTGTGGTACCATGTCCTTCTCGGATTGTTTGCCCGTGTGGGTCCGTATGGTGCGTTGCCCCAGTTCTCGAAATCGATAAAAGGAGCGGTGATGCATATTGTGTTGTTTGATGCCGTGACACCCAGCCCTCATATCCGTTGCCAACGTAGTGCCGTGGTGTGTTGTATGGTGCGGTGCCCCAAGTTCTCGGATCAGCTGGCCGCATGTAACTGGGCCGTGCCCCCGTTTTTATGCTGCGCTGCCCGCGTGATGCCGAGTGGTGCCACGTGTGGTGTGTCCCCGGTTCTCGCACTGATCCATTGCCCGTGTGCGGTGCCGTGTAGCGCGGTGCCCCCAAACTTTCGGTTCTCTTGATCACAGTGCTCTTGTATTGCCATGTCCCCAGCTTCCACAGTTGATGCCAGCGCGATGCCATCTTATGTCGTGCTCCCAACCGTGTCTGGCATTGTCGGGTCGCCATCCGTGCGGTGCCTTGTGGTGTTGTGCGGTGCGGCGCCTTTGTTTCTTGGACCGGTGGAGTCTTGTATTATGCGGTGTGGTGCCATGTCCCCAGCTACTGGATCCGTTGCCCGCGTGTTGCCGAGTGGTGCCGTATCGTGCCGGGCGGCTTGTACCGGGTCCACTGGCCACGTGTACCGTGTATTGTTTTGTGCGGTTTTATTCGATCATCGATGTCAGGGATTCGGAGATGTTCTGTGCTGCTCAGGGCCCAACGCAAAAAAACGCTAAAAAACATCATGTCAACATTGTGGTCAGTAGGAGTCCATCTGGATGAGGGGCGTCTGCGTTCCGCTGCGCGCGAGGAACGCGCCCGAATGTCTACGCGCAGGTTGACAACGTCTATGTGTAATACCAGCATCCAAATTGGTAGGGCTAATCTCAGGACCTGTTAAATCTGCGATTCAACAGACACTTGCAGGTCTTTGGGAGCCATGTACAGATCCCGCGAAGATCGCAGTTCCACGATCAACCCTGAGATGTAAGAGCACCATGGCCTCTACTCGTTGGAAATGGTAGGTTCGGGGCCGTAGCTTGGCGTCGGCAGGCCGAAGCTGTTGCCGAGCTCTGCTTGCTAGAGTGCGTGTGTCATCGTCCTGGGGGGGGCCCGGATGCGACCGAAGGCAGTGGGACAACCATAGTACAGTTTTGGAGGGGCCCTCAAGGTGGTGGAGGTCCCTTATATTCAGACTGTGGAGAAGATCGTCGAGATCCCGACCCTGGGAGAGACGTTCATGGGCCAACAGAGGGCCACGACGGTCAATCTGCCTCCGATCCGCCAGGAGTCCGTGTGCCGGCACCTGGGGGGGAGGGAAAAAGGTGGAGCAGGGGAGGGAGCGGACACACTTGTCATCTCGTTGTTGCTGTCCGCGCGAAGTGGACCGAAGCGTAGGTGGTCCTCGGATTCTTCTTCGCCGTCGGCGTCGTGTAGGCGTCGTCGTCGTCTTGGTCGTCTTTTTGTTGTCGTTGCCGCCGTCGCAGAGGTGGTCATCGATGTTGTACTCGTAGTCATTCCTGTCGTCGTCAAAGGAGAAGGTTTCGAGTGGTCTTCGCGCTAGGAGTTACACTAGGGAAAAACCAGCTAGTGGAGGCTCTTCCATTTTCGCACGCGCTGCCTTTCTCCCTCTCTCTCTCCCTCTCTCTCTCTCTCCCCCTCTTTCTTTCAGTTTCTCTGTATCTCTCTCTCTCTCTCCCTCTAGCTTTTTCTCTCCTTCTCTCCCTCTCTCTCTTCCTCTCTCTCTCTCTTTCTCTATCAGTCTCTCTCTCTCTCTCTCTGTCTCTTTCCTTCTCTTTGCTGAATCGATGTCTGAATTCCCCAATCCGTGCTTGCACTGAAGGGGTCCTAGCGGAGATTGAAGGATTCGGCCAAACTTCCGGGCCGATTTTGGTAGGCGGCCGGGTTCCTGGATTCCCGAGTTTCCGGTTCCGGGTTCCGGGGTCACCGATTCCGGGTTATGGGCCGATTTCGGTGGGCGGATTTCGGTGGGCGGCGGGGTTCTTGGGTTCCCGGGGTCCTGATCGATCTTCTTATCGATCGGTCTCACCATCGATCTCATTACCCACCTCTCTATCGATCTCACCATCGATCTCACAATCGATTTCATTATGGATCTCACAAGCGATCTCACCATAGATCGCACGAGCGATCTTGCGATCGATCTCACCATCGATCTCATTGAATCGTCTTCACTCTCGGTCCCACGATCGGCCTTACAATCGTCCCCACTATATCTTACAATCGATCTCAATCTCCATATAGTTAATGTTCAAAACATCCACTGATTGTTTCTTGTTCTTCGGTCTAGTGTAGCATTTTATGTATGCACCGCTATTTTTCTATGATATTATTCGTATACATATACATTCGTATATGTATTCCCGTCTATACATGGATACACCTATTCCAGGTGTCCAACTAATATATATATATATATATATAAAATTGTTCTCTACAATCGGATCTGCTCTGTTCTCCTTCTCCGTGTACTTTCTACGATATCTATCTCACCGTGGTCGCGAGGAACTGGGTACTTGGCCGCAGCCAAGAGATTGAAACCCCGGGAACCTTACAACGCTGGGCTCCGAACCTAGAACAGAGATCCCAGGATCCTGGCCGCCCACCGAAATCGGCCCGGAAACCTGGAACCAAGAACCCGGGAACCCGGAACTTGAGATCCCAGAGCGGGGAACCCAGGAGCTAGTCTGCCTACCGAAATCAGCGCCGTACCTTCGCTCATTCGTTCAGTCTCCGCTGGGACCCCTTCAGTGCGCAGTCCCGGCCTGGCACGTCTCGGAGCGCCGCTTTGGTTTCTTGTATGGTTTTTGGGAACGTTTGGGCTGACTTTTTTGGTCGCCTAGTTCTTTTGTGGGAGCCTCTTTGGTTCGCTTCGCAGGATTCCAGGTTCGCCCTACGTGGATTTCCTGCTTCCTTGCGGCGTCTCCGCCTTCCTCCCTGTTCCTTGCCGCTGGCTCCTCCCTGCCGCGCCCCCCCCCCCGACGTGTCAGTAGGGCTGGCTGGGCATTTCGCTCGAGAAGCCTGCACCACGAATGATCATGCAGCTCGACATTCAGGAGGGAACAAAAACACACAGACACAATTCATCGTCGATTGCCCAGAATATATCGGAAACTATGGGAATTGGGGGGGAGACAAAAACCCAGAAAAAGTGGGAAAACATGGAGAATCCTGTTATTTGAGTCTATGTATTTGTGTGTCCCAGGGCCCCTTCAGACATTTGTAACAGTTTCACGGGTGAAGGGCGGCTCGTTCTCCAGACCTGGTTCTCGCATCAGCGACGCGGACATTCGATCTAACAGCTTGTACCAGTGTCAACCATTGAGTGATGGGCTTGTTTTCCATCACCACCACCATAAGTTGGAGGGGGAGGGGGTCCTCCTCCTCCTCCTCCTTCTCCTCTTCGTCCTCCTCCTCCTCCTCCTCGTTCTCCTCCTTCCCCCCTCCAACTTATGGTGGTGGTGGTGGAAAACAGGCCCAACATCGAGCGCGGGCCGTTTTCTCAAAACGTGGTTCTCGCCTTCATGCCGCGCGCATCCGTTTGAGCATTCTGCGGCAGCTTCACGGGTGGTTGGCGCCCTCTTTTGAAGATGTGGTGCACAGTCGCCTTGGAAGTTTCCAACATGCTCAAGGGTTCGTATGGCTGAAGTCCCAGGAATGGCTTCCTGGCTCGGCTCATGACTGTCGGGGCGCAACTGTCACGCTGAGTCGCGATCTCGAAGTCCCAGGAACGGTGTTCTGGCACGATGTAGGGTTGTCAGGGCGCAGGAGTAACGTTCATTCGCGTCGTTGAAGGCCCACGAAGGGTGTGTTGGCACGGTAGGAAAGTATGAAACCGTTGCCTTCCAATGGGGCATGTCCCACAGTGAAATGTGTTCGTGTATGAGTCTATGAAAGGGGAAATTTGGAGGGAGCGTTTATTGCAACATCGTTAAAAGCCCTGGGTGTGCCCCTCCGTCGCTTGTGGGAGCTGCTCCTCCGCTTTCTAGGGTGCTGGTTCCCCTCCTCCTCTCCCCCCTTCGTGTTCTTCTTTTTCTTTTCCTCCTCTTCCTCCTCTTCCTCCCCTTCCTCCTCCTCTTGCTCCTCCTACTCCTCCTCCTCCTCCTCCTCCTCCTCCTCCTGGGCGAGGGGCAGCCCTGTCGGCAGCGCCGCCGCAGGAGGGGCCCACCGAGATGACGACGGTGGTTGAGCAGGGGGAGCCGATGCCGCCAGCCCAGAAGGGACGAGATCCCGATCCGCCGATCGTGGCTCCTTCGTCGGCTGGAGGAGGACGAGCGTCGGTATGAGCAGCGGCTGACATCATCATCATCATCAGCAGCAGCATCATCATGATCATAATCATCATCAGCAGCATCAGCATCAGCATCATCATCACCATCATCGTCGTTATCATCATGCACATCATCATCACGAACATCATCATCATCATCATGATCATCATCATCATGAACATCATCATCATGAACAACATCATCATCATCATCATCATCATCATCATCATCATCATCATCATCATCATCATCATCATCATCATCATCATCATCATCATCATCATCGCGGAGGAGGAGGAGCGTCAGGAGGAGCAACAGCTGACAATAGAATGAGGGAGCTGGAAGAGGAGGACGGAAGACGGAGGCGGACAAGGTGAGGAGAGGACGGCGGAGGAGTAGGAGGAGGAGGAGGAGGAGGAGGACGCAGGACAGAGGAGGACAAAGGAGGACAGGCAAAAGTGAAGGAGGTGGACGGAGGAGGAGGAGGAGGTGGGCGGAGGAGGAGGAGAGAAGGACGGGGGAGGAGGAGGAGGAGGACGGAAGACGGATGAGGAGAAATGATTACCAAGTGCGTTACAGGTCTGAAGAGTGTAGAAACTCATCTAAAGTGATGAGGCGGTCATCATATATTTTTCTGACATTGCAGAAGTTCGTCCGCGACGCGGAGTGTCCAGTAGTTTTCCCGACATTGGACCACGTTCTTGAAGTCGTGGCCAGGGCAGAAGCATTGTTGCCATTGGCCGATGGGTCGTTTCCCTTTTGGAAAGAGAGGCTTCCGTAGCCCCAATGTTGTGACACCGTCACACATCGGACATGTTTGCGGCAGCGGTTGATCTTGTCCCCAGGCAGATGCACCCAGATATCTCGCGATGATTCGATTTCGGCCGCAGTTCGAGAAAGCCCCTGAGATAAATCACACCAGCAGGTTTTCACGATGCCGCTGGAGTGGAGCGGTTCGCAGCCCTGGACACACCGCCCTAGCCCCCAACGTGCCTGCAAGGCACGGCGTCTGTTTGCACACTGGGATGGCGAGGGACGGGAGGGTTGGGAGCCGTTTGTTGTAGGTACGCGCAGTGTGGGGTACCCTCACGGGAATGTGATTGGCCCGCTAAAACAGAGGTAGATTGCCGAATCGATTGGCCACCGGATATGGACGGGCGGCACGGCCAAGGCTCTGTCACATTCGAGAGGATGCTCGTGTGAGCTTCGCTCGGACCAGCCATTCATGGGTGAAATCGCACGGGCCACTAGAGACAGCCCTTACCTCACCCCCCCTCTAGGACAACCCGTGGCTGTCGGCCACATCAAAAAACAGGGAAACTGCAAATGCTCCAGGCTTCGCAGGCGAAGACGAACCCATGAGACACCAAACAACCGCCACTGATGTTCCGCGCTTTGCCCGCCCTTCTCATTGTGTGCTCCCTTCTTTAGCCTTAACCCAGTTGGGTGCACCTAGCCTGCCTCCCACCTTGGTCAAAAGACCATTCGAGTAGGGGAGGGTTCGCCGTTGGGGGACCGAACCCGATTGCATGACGCCGCTCGCCCACCTTCCCTAGGGCGAAGGGGCCAACTCACATGACATCGCTCTTCCCCTTTCTCCTCGTCTGGCAAGTCTGGGCCAGTAGGCGCCCCGATGCCGATCAGAGGGAGGAGAACCGATTGTCAAATGCATCGGAAGGCAGGACTAGCTTGTATGCCAGAAGCGCAAGGCTGGGGAGGGGGAGCATTACGAGAACAGCACCTGTTTTGGAGTAAGCAATTACATCAGCGAAAATCCCCAATCAGTGGATGGTTTTCGATAAAAGGGAGATCGTCCAGGAACCCGGGAACCCGGAACCCACCGGAATCGGCCCGGAACCAATCACCAGGAACCCGGGAATTCTGAACGGGGTTTTCGGAACCCGCCGAAATCGGCCCGGAACCAATCCCCAGGAACCCGGGAACCCGGAACGGGGAACCCGGGAACCCAGCGGGCCACCAGAATCGGCGGGACATTTTGGCCAAATCTTCAATTTCCGCTAGGACCCCCTCAATTTCCGTTACGACTTGTTTTGCCGATCGGTGCGGGCCCCCCAAACCCTCCCTCTCCCCCCCCATGGAGTAAATCTTGAATCTTGGCTGTCTTTTAGCGCCTGTTTCGATCGGGCGGAGTCTCCCCCCAGAGGCCGCACTCTTGCAAACAGTCGCACTAAGCAGAGGTCTGGAGCCAGACCCCCCCTCCCCCCCCCCCTTCCTCCCAATGTCGAGACGCCGAATAAAAAAAACGCTCACCTGTCAACTTCAGGTGTTGCCCTCTGACAAACCTATCCCATGAGCACTTCGCGCCTTGGGACGGGAACGCACAGCCTGACTGGCAGTTCTTTGGAGCCGCCATAAAAGCACACAACAGATCACGGGACCCGATTGAGCAGCGGTGCCGCTCGGCGCCACCAGCACAGCACGGCCCATTGGGGGGCGGTCGCGCGTTGTGAAAAGACCAGGCCGGAAGGCCCCAGAAAGGACGGGTCCCCCTACAATGATCAGACCCTCGCGCCTCATCGGGCTGCACAAAGCAGAGGCACCCAGACACGGCAGCCTGCACAACCCTTGCTTGCAGCCTCCGAGGCTCAACCATCCTTTTTAGCCTTGCACCCAAATGGCTGGGCCACAGGACATCGCAAAGACCAGGGAGGGCACGGCAAAACACCGGACAGCACGGCTAGGGGGGCGGACACATGCTGCGGAGGGATTGATCCAGGCGAAGACGAACCCATGAGACACCAAACAACCGCCACTGATGTTCCGCGCTTTGCCCGCCCTTCTCATTGTGTGCTCCCTTCTTTAGCCTTAACCCAGTTGGGTGCACCTAGCCTGCCTCCCACCTTGGTCAAAAGACCATTCGAGTAGGGGAGGGTTCGCCGTTGGGGGACCGAACCCGATTGCATGACGCCGCTCGCCCACCTTCCCTAGGGCGAAGGGGCCAACTCACATGACATCGCTCTTCCCCTTTCTCCTCGTCTGGCAAGTCTGGGCCAGTAGGCGCCCCGATGCCGATCAGAGGGAGGAGAACCGATTGTCAAATGCATCGGAAGGCAGGACTAGCTTGTATGCCAGAAGCGCAAGGCTGGGGAGGGGGAGCATTACGAGAACAGCACCTGCTTTGGAGTAAGCAATTACATCAGCGAAAATCCCCAATCAGTGGATGGTTTTCGATAAAAGGGAGATCGTCCAGGAACCCGGGAACCCGGAACCCACCGGAATCGGCCCGGAACCAATCACCAGGAACCCGGGAATTCTGAACGGGGTTTTCGGAACCCGCCGAAATCGGCCCGGAACCAATCCCCAGGAACCCGGGAACCCGGAACGGGGAACCCGGGAACCCAGCGGGCCACCAGAATCGGCGGGACATTTTGGCCAAATCTTCAATTTCCGCTAGGACCCCCTCAATTTCCGTTACGACTTGTTTTGCCGATCGGTGCGGGCCCCCCAAACCCTCCCTCTCCCCCCCCATGGAGTAAATCTTGAATCTTGGCTGTCTTTTAGCGCCTGTTTCGATCGGGCGGAGTCTCCCCCCAGAGGCCGCACTCTTGCAAACAGTCGCACTAAGCAGAGGTCTGGAGCCAGACCCCCCCTCCCCCCCCCCCTTCCTCCCAATGTCGAGACGCCGAATAAAAAAAACGCTCACCTGTCAACTTCAGGTGTTGCCCTCTGACAAACCTATCCCATGAGCACTTCGCGCCTTGGGACGGGAACGCACAGCCTGACTGGCAGTTCTTTGGAGCCGCCATAAAAGCACACAACAGATCACGGGACCCGATTGAGCAGCGGTGCCGCTCGGCGCCACCAGCACAGCACGGCCCATTGGGGGGCGGTCGCGCGTTATGAAAAGACCAGGCCGGAAGGCCCCAGAAAGGACGGGTCCCCCTACAATGATCAGACCCTCGCGCCTCATCGGGCTGCACAAAGCAGAGGCACCCAGACACGGCAGCCTGCACAACCCTTGCTTGCAGCCTCCGAGGCTCAACCATCCTTTTTAGCCTTGCACCCAAATGGCTGGGCCACAGGACATCGCAAAGACCAGGGAGGGCACGGCAAAACACCGGACAGCACGGCTAGGGGGGCGGACACATGCTGCGGAGGGATTGATCCAGGAGGCCCCAGAGAGGACTGTTGACCGCGATGGGAAGCAGGACCCCGCAATAGGAGCTTCGCCGTATTTTCACCGGGCGCTGCCTTCCGGTGCCCTGCAAAAGCGCACAGACTTCATCACAGCATGGGTGACAGGGGGTTTCATGTGCGGGGGGGAAGGCTACTGAGGCACAGAGAGAGAGAGAGAGGGAGAGAGCAGGTCTGCGAGAGGAAACAGGAGACGCAACGAGGGCGAGGTCGAGGCGAAGCAGGAGGTCGGCGAACGAAATCGCGTACTACATGGTTTGTTCTGCTCCTCCTTGCCTGATCGAACTGGGCCCGCAAGCTGGCACCGCTATGCTGAGGAGTTCGGGGAGGAAGGGCGGAGCCGAACCAAAGAGGCGCAGGAGGAGAAGAGGAGCGGGCAGGGAACGGCTTGAAAGGCGTGGCGAGCCGTGGGGAGAAAGTTTGCTTGCATGGCGTCAGTCTTCTCCCTTTCGAGGAGCGGCGCGGACTGCTTGCATGCTGCCCCTTTTCCCTCTTGCCTTTTTCCTCCCTTGGCCCGACGGGAGAGGAGGTGGAGGAGGAGGAGGAGGAGGAAGAGAAGGAGGAAGAGAAGGATGAGAAGGAGGCCGAGCCGCCCATTCACGCGACCGATTCTGACAATGTTGTCCTCGCGGTGTTTGTTGCGTCCTTGTCGGTTTTCGACCCCCCTTTATTCAGCCCTACGTGCCTGATGGAAATGCATGTGGCCAATATGCTCGAGACCATTTCTTTATTGCTTGGGGCATGACGGGCGTCATGGCCCCCAGCCCCCCCCCCGCCCTATGACGTAACGCTCCCCCCCCCAGTGCACTCCGGGCACTGCCGCCGTGCGCATTGGGATCCGCGTAGGTGTCCGCGCAGGAACCCGCATAGGAGTCTGGTCCGCAGTCGTCGTCGTCGTCGTCGTCGTCGTCGCCGTCGTCGTCGTCGTCGTCGTCGTCGTCGCTCGTGGCTCGTGGCTCGTGGCTCGTCGCTCGTCGCTCATCGTCGTCGTGCGCGCGGACGCGGCTGGAGCCTGTTTTTTTATTCCGGGCCGATGACGGCAATCATGTGGGGGTGGTGGAGGGGGGTCGATGCCGCCACGCTTCGCGCCGGCAGCGCCTGGGAATGCTTAGGAATGACGGAGGACGGGTGGCACCAGCATGTCGGTGGCGATCTGCACCACGACGCCTGTGTACACCTCGATGCTTTCGTGCACCACAGCGTCTGTGTACACCACACCGCCTATGTACACCACAGCAGCCGCGTGCAACACAGCGTCAGTTTGTGCCACCGCGCGCGCGGGCACAACAGCTTTTGTGTACACCACAGCGCTTGCGTACACCACATCAGCCGTGTGCAACACATCAGTGTACACCACAATGCCTGCGCGCATTGCAGTGCCTGTGTACACAACGGCGCCTGTGTGCACCACAGCAACCGTGTGCAACACAACACCATTGTTGTATGTAGAATGTTAGAAGGAATCATTATGACAAAATGGAGCGTTTGTGGATTCCACCGAAAACGCTTGAAAATCATCCTTACGGACACGGGAGCGCCAGAGGAATCTACGAGTCCTTCCGACTTCGCCCGCATCACCGTAACTCCTCCCATCTGCGTCCAGGAAGCTCCAGCTAAATTGGCCGTCTGAGAACCAAGTGGGCCGATTCAATCGACCATTCTGCGGTGCACGCAAAGTTGCGCACGTGTGCTGTAGCGCCAACCTGCACGACAGGGTGTAAGGAGGAGGAGGAGGAGGAGGAGGAGGAGGAGGAGGAAACAGAAGAGAAAAAGGAGGACGAGGAGGTGGAAGTGGAGGAGGACAAGACGGAAAAACGTCGCGTTCGATTATCAGCACTTTCCTGGCTTGGCGCTTCCGCAGCAAAGCCTCGCGTACTGGCTCTTTCTACTTGTCCTATGCACGCAGGCGCTGTGGTGTACAATAACGCTGCGTTGCACGCGGATGCTGTGGTGTAGACAAGCGCTGTGGCGTGCACAGGCGCCGCGGTGCACGCAAGCATTGTGGAGTACACAAGCGCTGTGTTGCACATGTCTGCCTCCGGTGTGCACATGTAGACAGGCGCTGTAGTTTACGCAAGCAGTGCAGTGTATTCAGGCGCTGCGTTGCACACGGTTATTGCGATGTACGCGGGCGGTGTGGCGTACACGCGCGCTGTAGTGCACGCGAGCGCTGTGGTGTACACAGGCGCAGGGGGGCAGATCGCCACCTACAGGCTACTCGCGTCGTCGTCGTCGTCGTCGTCGTCGCTCGTCGCTCGTCGCGTCGTGCGCGCGGGCGCGGCTGTGGTGCCGGAGCCACACGGCGGGGGGGGCGGGCGTTACGTCATACCCCCCCCCCGCCCCCCCCCCATGACGCCCGTCATCGCCGAACATAAAGAAACGCTGTCCTCTTTCGTTTTGACCCATTCGGCGAGACCCACTCGTCCTTTCCGCCGCCCCCGCCCCTCTCCCCCTGCCTTGTCAGTGCTCTCCCTTCTCTCTTTTCCTCTTCGTCGTTGACGTGCTGTGCTCGAGCGGGCATTTCGGACAATGCGCCCCCTCAGGGGTGTCAGAAACAGGGGGGGCGGAGGAAGCCGAGGAAGGGCATGAGGAGGAGGAGGAGGAGGAGGAGGAGGAGGAGGAGGAGGAGGAGCTGCAGTAAGAGGCACTCTTGGCCAGGCCGAGCGAGCCAGCGGGCCCTCTCGCGTGACACGCGAGGCAATGCTCGCGCAGCCGGGTCTTGGCACTTCCGTGCGGGCCCACCGAGCGAACGCGAGGGCGCTCGAACGCGCGCCCAGCGTCCGACGACCTTGCGAGGGGCGTAGCGGGTCGCGCCCAGACGGAAACGGAACTCTCCGAGCATCGTGGCGCGGCGCTTCGGCCCGAATGCCATTCGGCCCTCCCGCGCGCGATCGAATGGCCGATGGCATGCCGATGGGAGCGGCGAGGACACAGCACTCGCCTCGCCGAAGCAGCAATGGCATCTTCAGGCGAAGTCTGCGCAGCGCTTCAGCGAGAGCAACAGCCCGTTCGCGCTCGGCCCCGTTGCCCACGACTGGACGGGCGATCGGTATACGCCTCGCCCGAGCGTGGGCTCCACGTTCAGGCGAAATCTGCGTGGCGCGTGGGCAGGGGTAACTTAGCGCCCACCTGCATCCGCGACCCCGTTGCCGACGAGCTGGCGAGCGACAAATGCTCGTCCCGCTCAAGCTGGAGCGCCACTTTCCGAAACAACTGTTCACGGCGCGTGAGCGAGAGCGACATCTCGTTCTTGTTTGCGCGCGGCGTGCGCTGCGTCCCATTCCTGCGACGCATTTTGCGGTAACGTCGGCGACATACCGTCTACGCCTAGAAGCGAGTCATCGGCTTCGTATCATGGGCTGGTGGGTGGGACGGACAGGTGTGGTTTGTATCGGCCGGCCGATTGGCAGAGCGGGAGTGCAGTGGCGAGCTCAGCCAGCCGCCTCGAGCGAGGCAGCGGGCCCCGCCAACCCTCGCCCGCCCTCCCATATCACATCAGGTCCGATGCCAGCACCACCGGACGCGAGGGCTGGAGCGCGCGCTCACACCTGGCGAGTGGGGGGCGCGGAAAACCCCTGCGCGACGCTGAGGCAACAGCCCTTGTGAGCTCTCTCGCGCGCGGGCAGGTCTCCGGCAGCGCTGGCGAGGGCAAGCCGTGCGCCGCGCCTGATCGGGGGCGGGCCTTTCAGTGCGAAATCTGCGAAAGCGAAGACGACGATGTTTGATAGTTCGTTCTCCCACGGCCCCTGTTCGGGCGACTGGGCAAGCGACTGAGATGCGCAGAGTACAAGCGGGAGCGCCACTTCAGGCGAACTCTACACCGCGCTCTGGCTGGAGCGGCATTTAGTTTCTTCGTGCCCTCCCAGGCCCAACGAGTTAGCAAGCGAAGAGTGTGCACTGCGCTAAAACTGGATCGCATCTTCGTGGGGAAACATGGCGTTGCTGCGAGAGCAGCCTCGCACGCGACTTCCGCCACGTCCCAACTCTTGCCGCGCATTTTGCATCGTCGACAACACGTCCATGTTGATTGGTAGACTGGAAGAACCCTGATTGAACCTCTATCGGCCGGGTGGGTGGCAGAATGGGAGTACACATTCTTTCTTTAACAAGAGCACACACACAAAACATGAGCGCGAGCAGCTAGCTAGTTCGAACCAGCCAGCGGGCCTCGCTCATTGCCGCCCTCCCCTCCGCAATACAGTAATCAATTCTGGCGCAACTGGTCGGGATTGGCGCGCGTTGCCACCTGGCGAAAGGAAGGCGTATTCAAGGGGGGGCGGGCGGCGGCCCAACTGTCAAGTGGGATGGGATTATTTCGCAGCGCTTCAGCGATGTCGACATTTCGCTCTCTCGGGCGCGCCCCCGCCGCCGACGAGATAGTGAACGAAACATGTACGCCACGCTCGAGCGGAAACGCAGCTCTCGGTATCACAAGTATGCGCGCCGCGTGTAGCAAAATCGAAGTTGCGCTCTGCCGCGCGCGATGCGTAAGTGTGTGTGTGTGTGTGTGTGTGTCTGTTTATCAGTGTGTCTGTGTGTACCGCGTCCCGCTCCCGCCACAGATTTGGCAACGCCGGCGACATAATGTCCGCGCTGACGGGGAGCACGTCGACTGTACACTGCTTGAAGGGGCAGGAGCAAGAGGAAGAAGAGGACGTGAAGACGGATGAGGAGGCAGAACGGGGAGCCAAGATGGATGGGGAGGCAGAGCAGGGAATCGGGGGATCGGAGGGGACTGGACCCGGAGGGGGGGGGGCGGTGCTTCCAAGGCCGCCAGAGATGGGGCAGCCGACGTTTGTCGCGGACCCCTCCATGACTCAGACCTACGGGGCGCCGGTGGAGCCCACCGCAGGTTATCCACAGTTCTGACTGGGCCAAAGCGCCAGCCAGCATTCTCGTCTTTTTGTCTCTCCTCCTCGTCCTCCCCTCGCTCCTCCTCGTCATCTTATTCCTCCTTCGCCTCCTCCCTCTTCCCGTGCTCCTCGCTGTTTTTTCACGCCGTCATCGTCGCAATCACCCATCTACCTCGGTTCCGTTGGCCGTTCTTCGTTTTGTCCGCCTCCCTGCTCGTGCTCGTCCTTGTCCTCATGCCAGATCACGTGTCGGCCCTCGGTGCCTCTGGGCCCTCTCACCGCCGTGCTGCACTCGGGCTGGAGCAGCTGCGCACTGCTTCAAAGCCTGGTGGCCCCCGGGCCTGTCGTCTCGCGCTTCCGACGCTCGCCCGGGGCAAGGAGCGTCCCACGGACCACCGGCGCGCCGTCGGGCGCAGCAGACCACGCAGCCGTGACCAGCGCGGCGCCGGCAGAGCGGCGCGCCGAGGGCGCCCAAAGACAGGAGCAGCCGGCGTCTCTCCGCCGAGCGCGTTCCACGACTCGCAGAATGCCTACTCGCAGACGTCCGAACAAAAACACCTGTCTGCATCGATGTAGTTTGTCGTGCACCTCCCATGGCGGATGCGGGCCATTTGCGAGCAGTGACCTTGCGAGTCGCGGAACGCGCTCGACGGTCTCTTGCCGGGCCGTGGCCGTCGTGGAGGCTCGGGTCGGGCGAAAGGGGGGGATTGGGAAAGGGGGGGTTACGAAATTGGCTGCATGCAGCTGGTTTCGGCCTCACCGAGGGGCCCATTCCTCGATGCATGGCCGCCTCCGGCGCCGGGAGGCGCCAGGAAAATCAGCTACGTGATCACATTCTCAAGCCCCCCCTTTGCTATCCCCCCCTTTCGCCCGACCCGAGAGGCGGGAGGGGGTGGCCCGACGGGGTCGCGGCCGCGGGCGGCTGCCGGCAGCTGTCCACCTGGCAGGAGCGGAGGCCACGAGGGGGCGGCCGACGCCAGGGACGACGGGCACACGCCAGGCGCGCACGCACGGAGCGGACGCCTGCACGACCGAGCCGTTTTCGACGAAGTTAGAAAAACAAGGCCGCACATGGATCCAAATATTGGAGGGGGGCGATGTCTTCGAGAGGACGCGGGCCTTCCGTGCAGAGCGCTCGTGCTGTGCTAGCGGAGCGTATGTCTTCGCGAGCCTTCCGAGGAACATGTAGGAGCCGGGTGATACTGTCGAAGCAGGCCAGGTCGACAGCGAGTTCTTGCAGACCTCGTGAATCGCCACGGTGGACATCCTCGGCGCGGCGGCGGGCGGTGGCGGCGCGGCCTGCGGGGCCGCGGCCGGCGGGGCCGCGGCGCGTGAGTGGCCAGCAGCTGTGCCCGAAACGGCAGGTTTGCGGTGGCAAACGTGGCTTTGGGGGCTCACGTGAATGCGTCGGAGGCGCTCGCTTGCGATCGCGCGCCTGTCTGGGGGTCATTTCTTGGGCGCCCACTTCCTTGCCGTAGATGCTCGGGTCGTGACGGGGGGGTGGCCGTCCATGGACAGCGGCGTCTCCGCCACGGTTTGGCGGTAGGGTCGCAGAAACCTGGCAGCGGCAGTGCTTCTGACAGCACGTCTGGCTTGGGCGAGCAGGCCATGCGCTGCACAATGTGGCCTGAACGGTGTTTGGGCGATTTCGTGGGCCGTTTCCGTTCCGATCTCGTTTGGCGGTGCAGGCGGGTTGAAGACAAAACGAGCGAAAACGAGAATGGCACAAACACGAAAAGCATTACTCAGGTCGTGCCCCGATGCGGCCCATCGTGTGGCTGGGCTGGCTGATGGGCGCCTCCCTTCGTGGCCACCGGGGTCGGTGCGCGCCGCTCGCCCTCCGGTGACCAGCGCCTAGGCTTAAGTCGGGCATGTCCCTCTACGGGGCGAATCTCAGAAAATGGTCCAACATAGTATGGGGACTACGTAACTGAGTATCTTTTTGTATGTTTGACTATTGTCTAGTCGTCGTCCAACATCCGCTATAATTTGACCACTTACGCAGGACGAAAGATTTTCCTCTTGAGGTGAAGTGGCCATGAGGAGTTCGCGAGACAACGTCGGCGCCGCCGAACGGACGGCGACCAGACGTGCTGTTTGCAGCATCCGGGGTGAGAGGGATGTATGTATTCATGTTGAATGGGGCCCGCTCGCGCGGGGAGTTGATGGGAGCGCGCAAGACGACGCAGCGCCCATCGTGGAAAGTTGATTACCGAACCCCCCATCCCCCGTAGAATCTTAACACGGGCGGTTTGCGGGGTCCGCGGCTCCGATTTCTTCCGGTTCCCTGTTTTACTTTAATCATATAAATTTAGGACAGGGTAGAAATCGGATCCGCCGTGAAAAATAAGACCGAACACGGATCCAGCAAATCCGAAATCGGATCCGCGCGGACGGAAATCGGATCCACTGAAGCACAAACCAAAACCAAAATTGGACCCGCGCGAACTTCATTGGATCCGACGGCTGGTATCTCACACGCGTCTGCTTAGGACTTCAAGCCTTCGCTCCGGGCCCAAGAGGAAAACACTTTCGTCCTGGGGATGTATTTTTAGCTGTCGTCCAAGATCCGCCTGTAGGAGGGCATGCCCGACCTACGCCTAGGTACAGGAACATCGCAGGGCCTTGTGCCGTCCGCCGACAGGGCAGCGCCGTCGGTGTCTTCGGCGGAGCCCTCAGCAGCGTGCTCCTCATCGGCACGGCGCTGCTGGTCATCAGGGGCAGCTTGCTGCGCACTAATGGCGCTGCCCAGCCCTGTCTCAAGCACGGCGTCGCGTCAGCCAAGCTCCCGCGGCACCCGTTTGATGGCCCACGGGTCCCAACAAGGCCGCCGCCAGCCCGGCAAGGCACCCGCGGCTTCCTGTGCTGCGCTCCTGGGTCCGATCGTGGCCACTCTTCACCACCCACCAAAACACCCCAACCCAACCCGAAGGCCCAAATTTATCCTCGATTTCCAGTGGGGGGGGGTCGGGGAACATGGAAAAACACATGGAACCCGTACCCCCCCCAACGCGAAATTCGGGTCAAATTCGGGTCTTCGGGTTGGGTTGGGATGGCTTGGTAGGTAGTCCACTCTTGCCACGGCCCCGAGAGACGACCCGCCCCACCTGGCAGACCTCACGCGCACGGAGCCCAGCGCGTGCAGCCGCTGCCCAAAGAAGCTTCCGCCTCGAGAGCGCCGCACGGCGGCCCGATCCACAGGCGCCGCCGTGCCCTGCCGCCTCGCCGCTTCGCCGCCTCCCTTGGCCCTTGGCATCGTTCGGGCGTGTGCACTTCTTCCCGGCGGGGGCTATCCTGGAGGAGGAGGAGTAGGAGGAGGAGGAGGAGGAGGAGGAGGAGGAGCAGGAGGAGGAGGATGAGGAGCAGGAGCAGGAGGAGGAGGAGGAAGAGGAGGAGGGCAAGGAGGAGGAGGAGGAGGACAAGGAGGAGGAGGAGGAGGACAAGCGAGGAGGAGGAGGAGGAGGAGGAGGAGGAGGAGCATCCTGGAGCATCCTGCGAGACAGCCGCGCACGAAACCGAGCGATGGCCAGCTCCGGCGTGGCAGCCGTGGCGCCACGGCCGGGCGGCGCCGCCCTGCCGGCAGGACCCGCCTCGCCACACGCCGGGCGTGGCCGGCGGGCGCCCGGGGACGCCCCGCGGGCCGCGTCGCCGCCGCCACGGCCCGCAGCAGGGCCCTGCTCTCGTCGGGGGGGGGAAAGAAGACGCCAGGAATCTGAAGTCGGGCCCTTCCCTCTGGACGCCCGACATGGGTACCGAAAGAATGGGTACAATGCCCAACAGCAGTTCCTGTTCATTCTGAACAGGACTCGCTGTCCGCGCCGCCGCGGCCTGTGTCCATTCGAGACAGAAGGCCGCCTGCCAAACAGCGGCTGCTGTTGGTTTGGGACAACATTTGTTGTTGGGCATTGTACCCATTGTTTCGGTACCCATTTCGGGCGTCCAAATTCCCTCTACGGGAGGAGTATTCCAAAGCAGTCAAACAATAGTCAGGGGACGACTCTTGAGCATTTTGTTCGGCGTCACCCCAACACACTTGTACTATATGTGCGTCGCACCGTCAGGGGCGACGCGCGCACCGAGAAATCTCATTGTATATGCGTCGTGGCGGGCGCTTTCTGGCCACACCGCTCGGGAAACGATAAACTATACAAGATGTGTATACTGTATGTTCGGTTCGGACGCGCGCCTCCAAGGAGGACATATAGTGCTGGTATGTCTCTGTGTGTCCCATTCTTGGTGTATTTCAGGATATTGCTTTTGTCCAAAATCGGCCTGTAGGTGGACACGCCCGACCTAACAGTAATCGGCGATTCCCAGGAGAATGCGACAAGTATGGGGCGCGGAGAAGACGAACCTCCAGAACATACTGAAGGCATGGGGACTCCTGGGATTTGTGTCGATCCACTGGTGTGTCCCTGGGCCCCTTCATCTGTATGGGGAACGAAGATTAAGATAAACATAACATCTCGGAGGTCCACGCGGATTTCTCGGATCGGCTCTGGGGCCCCCTGGCGGCGCCTCTGGCGCCGCCCCTGGCGCGCTCCACACGCCAGGGAGGGGGGTTAAGCGCGGGGCTATGAAATCCGTACGGACCTCTGAGTTTTTATGTTTATGCCATTTCTCGTTCCCCTAGTCTTGGTCAGGCGATCGCGAACTCCCCCGACCCATGGATTCGACGACCGCGCGGCGCGCCAAATCCATGGATCGCCAGTCCATGCTTGCGCGCCCCCGACCTGGGCCCGATCCCAGCAAGCCCACCCGCGCCACGCGCCAGCGTGACGCTCCCGCACCCAAGAAGCCATGGACGCCCGGGGTCTCAGGGCCAGGCTCCTCGTGGCAGGCTTCTGGCGGTCGAGCTCCTCTTGCACCACCTTGGCAAGACCCGTGCAGCGGGCCTGGGGCGGTGGCTGACGAGCCGGGCCCCTTGAGCTGGCAGGGTTCGGATGCAACTCCTGGGAGGTCAAATTCTGATTTTGCCCTTGTCCGACATCTGGCTTGATCCAGCTTACCTCCGCCTAATCCGGCTTCATCCCGCTTGATCCGGCTCAATCCTGCTCAGTCCGAGGCCCACTCCGGCGTAGCAG